GTTTGACTGCTCCTTTCCTCCAGATGCTGCCTGACTTGCTGTGTTCTTCCTGCCTCCTGTTTGTCTACCTTGGATCCCAGCATCTGCAGTTTTTTTTGTCTCTTGAGTAGATGGATGTTTGATGAGCAGTGCAGACACGATGCACTGAAAGGCCTCTTTCTATGCTGGACAATTTCTGCGATTTTGTGACTCACTCACACACAGATGTGCGCACACCCACGACACCCTCATGATCACGTGCAAACACATCCACTCACATTATCATTTGCAGACTCTTACACGCACACACACACAAACTGTCACACAACCCACATGTGCAGACGATCTCTTCCTCTCTCACACACAAGACTCTAGTGTCATTGTAACTGTGATACTCTGTCTCTATTGCAGGCTGATATAGGCTTTTTCAGAACTGCCACCGTTCCACATTTTTTTAAAAAGTTGCCTCCCTAACTCAGATTAGAGGAGGGGAATCTCCCTGAAATGTGAGGTTGCTGATGGTTCTACTGAAGTGTAGTTTTGAACAGTATGTTTTTGGTGAGGCTGTTGACGCGGGGCCAATGGAGGCTGAATTGCTCTACGACAGCCGAGTAATTCACACGTTCACCTTCTGTTAATTCCTATCTGCAACATCAATTAAATTGTTTGTAGAAACTAATTGAATGTGGCTTAATCACACATCTTAATAGCTTTACACGGTTTGAACTTCCTGTTAATTCGAGTAATAAAATAAAATGAGTGCGCTGGCTGTGTAATTAGCGAGGTGGCTTGTGAAGAAATTAGTGCTTTATGGCTTGTAATAAAGAGAGTGCTGCCGCCTAATTCTGACGGACTCTTGCTGCAATCTGCTGATTCTGAATTTTTCCTTTTAATTTGCACTTGGCTGCCGAGTGTTAATTGTATTTTAAAGGGACAGGCATGCTTTTACTTTCTCAGTCTCCACCAATGAATTCACCTCCTCACGGCCCTTCCACCCAACTCCTTTTAAAATGCCCTGCTGAAGTTGCAGGCTTCCAATCAAATTTGCCTTCTTGGGCTGTAAATGTTCTCAGATCCATCCAGACGGCACTTGCCTCATTCAAACTAAAAATTGACTGTTGTCTGCCTCACCACCATGGGATGTGAAAGCACAATTCATTCACACTAAAATCCCAGTTATATTCAATATTCAGGGATCACTGCACTGTCAGAGGATCAGCGCTGAAGGAGCGCCGCACTGTCAGAGGGTCAGCGCTGAGGGAGTGCTGCACTGTTGGAGGGTCAGTGCTGAGGGAGCGCCGCACTGTCAGAGGGTCAGAGCTGAGGAAATGCTGCACTGTCGGAGGGTCAGAGCTGAGGAAGTGCCGCACTGTCGAGGGTCAGCATTGAGGGAGCGCCGCACTGTTGGAGTGTCAGCGCTGAGGGAGAGGGCACTGTCGGAGGGTCGGTACTGAGGGAGTGTCACACTGTTGGAGCGTCAGTGCTGAGGGAATGCTGCACTGTCAGAGGGTCAGCGCTGAAGGAGCGCCGCACTGTCGGAGGGTCAGCCCTGACGGAGCGCCTCACTGTCATGGACATACACACCAAGGTACCTCTGATCCTCAGTGCTTCCCAGATTCCTGCTGTTCATCATGTATTCCCTTGCCTTGTTTGCCCCTCCCAAGTTCATCACCTCACACTTACCTGGATTGAAATCCATTTGCCAGTGACTAGCCCATCTGATCAACCCATCTGTATACCTCTGTAATCCTCCTCACTATTTACAATTCTGGCAATTTTTGTATCATCTTGTGAACTTACTGATCAACCTTTCTACATTCAAGTCTAACTCGGTAATCTCAACCACAAGGACCCCAATACTGATCCCTGCAGAACCCCAGATGATACCGGCTTTTAGTCACAAAAACACCCCGCGACCATCACTCTCTGTTTCCTGCCACTCAGCCAATTCTGGATCCAATTAGCCAAATTTCCTTATCATTTTCTAATTACTGCACAAATTATTGGAAGCATTTTTAAATGATCAGGTAAACTGTCACTTAGAAAGGCACGGAATAATCAAGAATATTCAGCATTTATTTGTTAATTGAAGATTGTACCCGATTAACTTGATTGAATTTTTGGAGGAAGATTGATGAGAGTAGTGCAGTTGTAATCTGCATGGATTTTAGCAAGGCTTTTGAAAAGATCCCAAATGGCAAACTGGTTAAAAAACAATACAAGCCCATGGGATGCAGGGAAATGCAGTGACCCAGACACAACATTGACTCAGTGGCAAGAAACAAAGGGCAATGATTGACAAGCATTTCTGCAAATGATAGGCTGTTTACATTGGATTCATTACAATGTCCCCCACTTGCTGAAATCTTTTTTTAGTCACCAGTACAAGGGAATTGATAAAAATATTTACAGATGACACAACTGCCAGCCACATGGCTGATATTGTGGGGGAAAGCTGGCGACTGCAAAAAGATATCGATGGGCTGGTCAGGAGAAGTGAACTTGGTAGATGGACTATAATGTAGGATAATGTGAGGTTATGCATTTTGGCAAGATGGCTAGAGAATATTATCTGAATGGAGAAAGACCGCAGAAAACTGTGAAATAGAGGGATTTGAGAGTCCGCATTGCTTGAATTTTGCAGTATTATTGCAAAACTATTAATCCAGAGACTGAGGTAATGTTCTGGGCTCCTAGGTTCAAATCCTGCCATGATTGGTGGTGGAATTTGATATCAGTAACAATCTGGAATTAAGAGTTTAATGATGACCATCATCGATTGTTGGAAAAACCCATCTGGTTCACTAATGTCCTTTAGGGAAGGAAACGGCTGTTCTTACCTGGTTTGGCCTACATGTGACTCCAGACCCACAGCAATGTGGCTAACTCTTAACTATCCTCTGGACAATTAGGGATGGGTAATAAATGCTGGTCCAGCAACAATACCCATATCCAAGAAATGAATTTGAAAAAAGTCACGAAAAGTTAGCATCCGGTTCAGCGGGTAATAGGTAAGGCAATTAGAATGTTGGCCTTTATTTCAGACCAGATTGACTATAGACCTTGCTGACACCAGCCGAACAAATTCCGGACCACGTTGACTCCAGACCGTGCTGCCACCAGATGATGCTGATTCCAGACCACGCTGTCTCCAGACTGCACTGATTGTAGACCACAATACTCTCAGTTCCTTTGTCGAGATGAATAGGAATTTCAGTACTTCTGGCAATAGATTGTTGCAAATACTTTAGCCTTATCTTTTGTACTGATGTGCTGAGACTTGTGGAGCCTTCCCCTCCACTGAGTTGTCTAATTGTTCACCACCATTCACGACTGGATGTGGCAGGACTTCAGAGCTTCAGTCTGATCCGTTGGTTGTTGGATCATTGATCTTCTGTTGTAGTTCCACTGGTTATACTGCATTTTAATGCATGGTCATAAGAAATCAGTGCAGATCTAAGTTTCTGATTGGCTATATGGGTGATTTACTGGTGGCGGTTATGGTTAAAAAAAAGGTCACGGTGAGTTGGTGATGAGAAAGCTGCTCAGTAGTGTGTAAGAGCACTTCTGGATAACAAGAAAAGAAATTGGTGCAGGAGTGGGCCATTCAGTCCATTAAACCTGTTCTGCCATTCAACAGAATCCCTACAGTATGCAAAAAGGCCATTTGGCTGATGGAGTCTGCACCAACCCTCCAAAGAGCATTCTACCCAGACCAGCCCCCTGACCCTATCCCTGTAACCCCACATTAACCATGGTCAATCCACCTAACCTGCATGTCTTTGGACTGTGGGAGGAAACAGGAGCACCCAGGGGAAACCCACACAGACACATGAAGAATATGCTAACTCCACACAGACAGTCACCCAAGGCTTGAATTGAACCCAAGTCCCTGACACTGTGAGGCAGCAGTGCTAACTACTGAGCCACCCTAATAATGATTTGTAGCTGATCTGATTCTGTCCTTAACTTCACTTTCCTGCCTGCCCCTCATCAGGCATGATTCTGTTTTCAATCAAAAAAGTGTCAAGCTCTTGCTTGACTCTGTTCAATGATGCAGGCTCCACTGCTTGCTTGGGGAGGAAATATTAAACACTGGCAGCTCCTTTGGGAGAAGTAATTGCTCCTGACCTCCATATTAAATGAATGTGGTAATTCCAGAATGCACTGACAATGGATCACACTTACTCTGGAACACACTGATTCCAGACAGCGCTGACTGCAGACTGTGCTGACCCCAAACCACGCTGACTCGTGACTGGACTGATTGCAGACCGCACTGACTCTGGAAAGCATTGATTCCAGACAGCGCTGACTCTGGACCATGCTGACTCCTGACTGCGCTGATTGCAGATTGCACTAATTACAGACTGCACTGATTCCAGATTGTGCTGATTCTCTTCTGCCCTGATGCAGGACCACACTGATTCCAGATCGCACTCATTCCAGACCACGCTGATTCAAGACCGCACTGATTCTAGTCTGCCCTGAAGCGGGACCGCATTGATTCCAAACCGCACTGGCTCCAGCCTGCACTGAATGTGGACTGCTCTAACTCTGGTGTCTGCTAATATACTCTGATCTCCTTTAAGTATAATGGGAGTCATTCTTATTGAGATGTGAGTAATTGAAGTCTGGACATCTCTGCAGCCACCAAAGCAGTTAATTCTGTGATAGATGCTGATGAGCTTGTAGCTTGTAAATGTACATGCTCCAAAACCCCAAATTCTGAAAGCTGTGTTTACATTTCATGTCTTTCTCTGGGCTAAGTCTCCTTTTTCTCCATGCACAAAATGTTACCACAATATGTCATATTTTCACAAACCATTCGTAATTTTTGAAAGTTTCAGTTAGTGAACAAAAAAACTGCCCCCTTTTCATTGAAGAGAATGTTGTGTCACCTGGTTCTACCTCTAGATGCCCAGTGCCAGTTTGTTGGTAAACTCCATGCCTGGTTATTTATGTTGCTGCCTCAGGGACGGATATCGTTTCTAATGCTCTCTCTCTCTGCTGCCCATTAGGATTATATGCAGAATGTTCATGGTAAGGAAATTGACCTGCTACGGACAACGGTTAAAGTGCCAGGCAAGAGGCCTCCACGGGCAACAGCCGGTAATGCTCCAAGTGCCAGCCCCAAAACTAATGGGCTCACCAAGGACAGGAGTAACCTGCAACTGGCTGCGAATCCGGGTAAGTGATGGTGCTTTTCCAACAGGTGCTTGCACTGTGCTGGATTGTTTGGAGGATGTTCACACTTTGTGACTGTAGTGAACTTTGAATCATTGCAGGGGCAACATTGGTGTCAGTGTTAGACTATTGCTTACACTTCATTGGTTCAAATTTAGGATCAGGGCTGGTTAACAATCAGTATCAGTGATTGTTGTTGGTGGGATCAATGGCAGTGATTAGTGTTGGTGATCAGTGTAAGTGATCAATATCGGTGATCACTGGTGATCAATGTAAGTGATCAATATCGGTGAGTGGTGTTGGTGATCAGTGTAAGTGATCAATATCGGTGATCGGTGTTGGTGATCAGTGTTGATGTCTGGTCTGTGGTCAGTGTTGGGGCTGGTTGGTGCCATTGTTTGGTGTCAGTGATCTGTTTTGGTGCAGTTGGTGATCTGTTTTGGTGCCCGTTGATGTTTAGTGCCAGTTTAACTCTAGTGATACACATATCTCTGCTGATGAAAATAGAAGATCAGTTCATATGGCAAACAGAAACTGTTGAATCTTTGGTTGGAATGAAATGAAAGTGGTGATTGTGACTGTTTGAAAATTCAGCCTCTTAAACAGATAATTGAGGTAGGGATATTGGTGATTCTGCAGTATCTTATAAAGGATATAACATTAATTACCTGGAAGCTTGAGTTCTAAACTGGACGGAACCAGGTATCAAACTATGTTTGATTTGTGTTTCACACTGTGTGGTTTAAGAAATGGAGGAAATAGTTTAAGTTTCATTTTTGAGTTCTGCAGTTTCAGGCTGTTAGAGGATTTGTTTCCAAACATTTTAATAAGTGTTTTTAAACCTTTTAGATGAATTATTTAATAATTTTGAAACAAAGGGAAAAAATAGAAACATAGATGTTCTGTTACATAGCCAGAAGGTGTCCCACAATACAGGGAGACAGAAGTGAAAATAAAAGACAAGAGCCATCAGAACTTCAAGTATTGTGCTGGTTTATTTCAGAGAGAGAAGCAGGGCATTCAGAGCAAAAAAAGTCTTGTAGCAGCAATCATACAGTTTAGCAGTCTCTAATGCAGTCTGGGCAGAAGAAAAGAAGTCCTGAGTGGCTTAAAAGCACTCAGTAAGAGTAAATCTCCAGATTTAGAAGTGTCTGTGGAAGAGGAGTTTAAGGAACCCATGCAGGAAATAAATGGAAACCAAAAGAACTGCGGATGCTGTAAATCAGGAACAGAAACAAAGTTGCTGGAAAAGCTCAGCAGGTCTGGCAGCATCTGTGAAGGAGAAAACAGAGTTAACCTTTCGGGTCCAGTGACCCTTCCTCAGAACTGATGGTGGCTGGGAAAACATCAGTTTATACGTCAGTTAAACGTCAGTTTTCCCAGCCACCATCAACTCTGAGGAAGGGTCACCGGATCCGAAATGTTAACTCTGTTTTCTCCTTCACAGATGCTGCCAGATCTGCTGAGCGTTTCCAGCAACTTTGTTTTTGTTCAGGAAATAAATGGGCTGTGTTAACTCTTGTGTTAAGTGACTCAGGAAGAGGCATTAACGAAAGAAATCGCACTGAGTGAATGCAAAGGATTTCTGAGTAGAAACCAATTTCCGACACAATATTGAACAAGGAAACTGGGTTCATAAAGGCTGCAATGAGGAATTTTTGTTGTGTGAAGGGGATTTTGTGTACTGACTGGCTCTGACACAGTGTAGGATTAGACTGAGTGGAGCAGGCTACAGGGCTGCCAAGCTCCTCCCCTATCACTGTTGTGCCAAAAACTGATTGACTTGCAAAGAGCTTTTGTATTTCTCATGGGATGTGGGCTTCACTGGCTAGGTCAGCATTTATTACCCATTCCTAGATGCTCTCAAGAAGGTATTGGTGAATTATATTCTTGAACACTACAATCTTTGTACTGTAGGTTAACCCACAATGCTATTAGGGAGGGAGTTCCAGGTTTTTGACCCAGCAGCAGTGAAGGAGTGGCGATATATTTCCAAGTCAGGATTGTGAGTGGCTTGGAGGGGAACTTGCAAGTGATGCTGCCCTTGTCCGTCTAGATGAAAGTGGTTGTGGGTTTGGAAGGTTCTATTGAAAGAGCCATGGTGAGTTACTACAGTGCATCTTGTAGATGGTACACACTGCTGCTCCTGTGTGTTGGTGATGAACAGAATGTGTATTGAAGATGGTTGATGGGTTGACAGTCAAAGGGATTGTTTTGTCCTGTATAGTGTCAAGCTTCTTGAGAGTGTTGCACTCATCCAAACAAATGGGTAGTATTTATAAACTCCAGACTTGTGCCTTGTGGATAGTGGACAGTCATTAAGGAGTCAGGAGGTGAGCGACTCATTATAATATTTCTAGCTTCTGACGAGCTCTTGCAGCCACAGTGATTACTAGGCTTGTCCAGTTCAGTTTCTAGTTAATGGTAACCCTCAGGATACTGACAATGAGGGATTCAGTGATGATAATGCCATTGAAAATCAAGAGAAAATAGATTCTATCTTGTTTGAGATAGTCATTGTCTGACACTTGTGAGGTATGAATGTCATCGCCACACATTAGTCCAATCTGGATATTCTCCAGGTCTTGCTGCATTTGAACAGGAATCAGTGTTATGAAGTTGGGTAGAGAATTGTGAGGTGGAAGGCAGGAAGCTAAAATGTTGGTTGCTTTAAGAGATTTGTGATTTGTCTGTACTTAGAAATATTTAAAAAATGTGTCTGTTGGTAATAGCTGAAGTTGCCAGTGCAGAGAGCCTCAAAAAGTGAAACAAGTGTATCAAAAATGCATTACTTGTTTTGATGTTGTGACAAGTTTGAATTCAGCCAATTAATTTAAACGAAGAACCTAGAAACAGAAAGCCAACTGAATTTAAAATCTGATGGTGTTGACAACCTAAAAGCAATCTTACTATAAGAATTTGATTGTCATTACGGGTATATAAAACGAGGGCATTTGGAAAATCGATGAGAGACAACTGTGATCTGCCAGAGTTAGCACCATTCTGCTCTCAGAGAAAGCCCATCTAATTAATCAAATGTACCATGGTATTTTAGCTCAAAGTCCTTATTGAAGAAATTATAGAGATAAAACATCCTTGACAGCGAAATTAGCAGAAGACATTTTTGAAGAGGGTGGAGACGACAGAATATTCCAGAAGAGAGTCAATGCGAACTTGGAGAGATTAAGTTATAATTTATGGCTTCTTATTAATTGGGTTTATATTAATGGGACTTGTCTTTATTTAAACAACATTCCAATAGAATTTAAACCAGTTAGGAAGTAGTTAGTAGTTTAAGGGTGAATTGTCAGTTTGTTAGTAATTTTGTTAATTTGTTCATTGTTGGGTTAAATAAATACATTGTTTCTTGTTACTTGTAAAGTGGAGATCAGGGATTTTCTTTCTTTTAACCACTCATTTAATAGATTACAAGGGGAAAGACGAGCTTCTCTGGGTGTTTCAGGGGTAATTATTAGAGGAGAACCCCTACTCCTACCATAGCGGATGGGGGCTTGTGTTTTAGTTTAATTATCGGAGGGGTTCGGCCATTCCCTATCATAATAACAATAGAGGGTTCAAGTCCGGGATCTGGATGGATTTAGACAGATCAAGTCCGGGATCTGGATGGTTTGAGTGCGGGATCTGGACGCTGCGTGTACGGGATCTGAACGGATTTAGGTAGATTTAAACAGACTTGGGGATTACTGTCCTAGATCTTTAAATAAAACTTAGGTGAGAACAAAGTCTGTTTAATTTCTGTTACTTGTTGTTGGTTAAATTAAAAGTGAGAAATGGCTCTTAACATTGTTAAAGAGGTACTGAGGTTTGAAGATGCTTCCCAAATTTGCCAAGAAAGTTCAGAAAAACGGAGGAAGGGATATACTATTAGAATTAACAAACAGATCAGAATTGGATTTAACTCAGGATAAAAGGAAAGCTGAAATTGTAATGGAGTTACTCAAGCACTTAGGTATATCAGATAAGCAGGCAAGTGCAGTGGAGTTAGAAAAACTTAGATTGCAAATGAGACAACTGGAGTTAGAGAATGAAAGGAAGGCGAGAGAGTTTGAATTACGATTACAAGCAGAAGAAAGGGAAAGAAGAGCCATGTTAGAAGATAAAGAAAGGGAGAGAAGGTTCTTAGCTGAGCAAAAAGAAAGAGAGGGAGAAAGAGAGAGAGAGTTTGAACTTTAGAAGTTTCAAACTGAACAGGAAAGTCAATTTAAAAGGATGGAGATGAAGATAAAAGAGGCTCAGTCAGGAGGAGAATGATGAGCAACCCCATGATAGCCAAAGACATTGTAGGGATGGTATACAAATGTGTTAAAACATTACCAAAATTCAATGAAAAAGATGTAGAAACCTTTTTGATTTCATTTGAGAAACTGACTAGGCAGATGAATTGGCCAGAGGATATGTAGGTAATGTTAATTCGGACCAAGTTGGTAGGCAGGGCGAGTGAGGTATTCGCAGCACTGTCAGATGAGTTGTCAAGAGATTATGGAGAGGTTAAACAGGCTATTTCGAGTGCCTATGAATTGATACCAGAAGCATATAGACAACGGTTCAGAAACATAAAGAAGGAACCAAGTCAGATTTATGTCGAATTCGAAAGAATTAAACAGAGCAACTTTGATAGATGGGTGAGGGCATTAAAGGTAGAAAGTACAAATGAGGATCTTAGAGAGATTATTGTGCTGGAGGATTTTAAAAATTCACTTCCAGAGATAATAAGGACTCATATTGAGGAACAGAAAGTTACCAAAGTAAGAAGAGCTGCAGAGATGGCGGATGAATATGCATTAGTCCATAAATTAAAATTTAGCTTCCAACAGCAATTTCATGCTGTGAGGGATAGAAATTGGGAAAAAGGGAGATCCTTCACTGAAAAACAAAAAGTAGATCACACTGGGAGCTGTTTACTACAGATGAAAAAAGAAACCCAAGCGGGTGAATAGGAGGCATGAAACTTCAGGTGTTTTCACTGCAATAAGGTAGGACAC